AATCTTCACACCCTCCTTCAGTGACTCTTTTATGCCTAGTGGTAAACAGGGTTGAGCAGTGGTTCTTGGGGAGGGGCGTGACATTGTAACAGGAGAAACAAGCAATCTTCCTCTCTGAACACAAAAAACTTAGGAAAAGTAGCTGTTTTTCATTTTCCTCTTTTGTGGTGGGGCTGTGCCAATCTCAGCCTGCAGAAACATCTTAGGAAAAGCAGCTGCTCTGCAGCTTATTCTTGCCTTATTTTGTGGCCTGGGTTGTACCAAACTCAGCCTGCAGGACACTGGGCACAGCTGTGCTAATGTCCTCTTAGGCTTCTCAGAATCTGTTCTTCACAGGTGTCTCTACCTCTGAGGGAAGGCCTCCTGAGATCCCCAAGCTTCCCCTTAAGATTCCAGGTGTATGGGCTGAAGATAAACCCCCCCGGTCTGGCCCAAATGTAACCCCCGTAGTGGTGGAACTAAAGCTGGGAGTCACCCCCCCCCCCGCCCCATCCCCATTAGCCAGAAACAGTACTTCTCTCCTTGCAAAGCCCAGGACGGAATTAAAAAACACTTTGACAGACTCCTAAAACATGGGATCCTCTAGCCTTGCCAGTCATCCTGAAACACCCCCTTATCATCAGTCCGGAAACCAGGGACAAGGATTTCAGGCCCGCTCAGGACCTCTGGGAAATAAATTCAGTAACGGTCACTTTGCACACCATAGTCCCAAATCTTTATATGCTTTAAGCCTTGTCCCAGCTTAAGCAAAGTTTTTAACCTGCCTAGATCTTAAGGATGCATTTCTCTGCATCCATCTAGCACCACAGAGCCAGCCAATTCTTGCCTTCCAGTGTGAAAATCCCAATACTGGAGAAAAGGGGCAACTAACCAGGCCTTGGTTGCCAAAAGGTTTCAAAAATTCGCCCACTGTTTCAGACCTGCCTTGGCATAAGACCTCAAAGTTTTCTCAGCTGACCAGCATGGCTGCACACTCCTCCAGTACGTAGATGACCTCCTGCTGGCTGGGCCAACTTGCAAGGACTGCCTTCTTTTTTCTCTTTTATGGGAGGCAGGATACAAAGTCTCTCAGAAAAAGGCCCAGATTTACCAAAACACTGTCAAATACCACAGCTTTCACCTGTTGCAGGGACAGTGCAGGCTCGGACCCAACAGGAAATAAGCTGTCTGTTCCATTCCAGCCCCCAAGGTCCACCAGCAAATCAGAGAGTTTTGAGAGCCGCAGGTTTCCGCTCAATCTGGATCCCTAACTACTCCCTCTTGGCCAAACCCTCTTGAAGCCACAAAGTGGGGCGAATGGGAACCCTTAGTATGGGAAGAAGAACAAAAGAAAGGCTTTAGAGAAATCAAGAGGGCACTCACGAATGCCCCTGCTCTAGGCCTGCAGGATGTGATGAAGCCCTTTTTCCTGTATACCCATGAATGAAAGGGGACAGCCATTGGTGTCTTGACTCAGCTACTAGGCTCCGGGCATCACCAGGTGGCTTACTTGTAGAAATAGCTCAATGTCATTGCCTGAGGCTGGCCACCTTGCCTGAGTGTCCTAGCAGCCATCGCTGCCCTGGTGGCAGAGGCAGAAAAGCTTGCCCTGGGACAAGAACTCACTGTCTGAGTTCCTCCTCTATCCTAACAGTCATGGAGTATAAGGGAAATTATTTGCTGACCAACTCTCAGATGGTCAAATACCAGAGAATGTTATGTGAAAAGCCACACATCAGCTAGAGGTTGTAAGGACTCTAAACCTGGCCACCCTATTTCCGGTTGACTGGGGTCCCCCCAGAGCATGACTGTTTAGAGGTTATAGATGAGGTTTTCTCGGCTGGACACACCTAACCGATCAGCCTATCGCCCATCCTATCATTGACTATTTCGCAGATGGCAGCAGCTTTATCCAGGACAGCACACGCTTTGCTGGGTATGCAATAGTAACTCTGGACTCAGTCATTGAGGCCTGCCTGCTGCCCACTGGAACTTCTTTACAAAAGGCTGAACTTGTCACCCTCACACGGGCACTCCACTTTGCTACGGGAATACAGGTAAGCATCCAGTATTATGGTCCTGTCACTTGGGCAAAAGATGGATCCTGGGGCCACCACACTCCGATCTATATGCTCAACTGTCAAAGAGTCTCTACCCATCCAGGAGGCAGAGAGGGACGGGGACTTGCTGAGACTGGCACATGTCAGGTTCACCCTCAGGAAAGAACGGGAAGTGAGGGAACTGTGGCTCCCACATGTTTCAGATCCCAACTTCCACAGCAAGCAGCTCAGGTCTCCATTCTATTTTGGAACAGCTTGACAAAAGTGCCATGAGAGCAGCTGTCCTCCTCACAGCAAGCCCCTTGTCATCACGCTCATGCCTTGAAAGTAACACAGTTCCAGTGACTCTGCAGGTGCCCAAGTCAGCCCCACTGCAGCACCGAGTGCCAAGGGACCTGCTCACCCCCAGAGCTCTCTCCCGATGGACCTTGGCAATGGTCCCCACTGCTAAACCTTAAAGTCGATCTTCAGCCACACATTTTAGGAATATCCCTTCCCCGTCTTTAACTAAACCTTCCTTGCTTTTAAGGTCCTGGAATGCTCTTTCCTATAGGAAGTTTCCCAAGCTGCCCAGCTGCCCAGCCCACATACCTACCTCTCCTCCTCCCCCTCCCCTCTCATCAGTACTCACTGTACACACAATGTATATTGAGCCATAAGTTCACAAATTCAGTTATAGCTGTGCATTGTTGTATTTTTTAATTTCAAGTTTCACTGTGGGTTGGAAACGGTACAGTGAGAGATGATTTGAGGGTCTGGGTGGCCCCAGATTAGACTCCCCAAAATCTTGCACTGGGCACCACACTCTTCTAGCACCTGTGTGGCCCCAGTGGGCATTTGAGCATGAAACTCTAATAAGTGACCACAGCAATTGCTTTTGCATCACTGTGATGGAGCAACTTAAAGGAGGAGAGATTTAGTTTGCTTATGGTTTCACAGGTGCCAGTCCATCATGGTGGGGAGTGGAGTGCATGGCAGAACAGAACAGCTCCCATCATAGCAGCCAGAGAGAGGGAGAGGGAGAGAGAGAGAGGGAGAGGGAGAGAGAGGGGGGGAGGAAGAAAGAGAGAGAGGGAGGGAGGGAGGAAAAAGGGAGGGCAGGAGAAAGAGAGGAAGAGAGGGAGGGAGGAAGAAAGGGAGGGAGAAAGGAAAAGAGAGGGAGGAAGGGAGAAAGGAAGAAAGGGGGAGAGGGAAGGGGAGAGGGAAGGAGGAAGGAAAGGGAGAGAGGGAGGGAGGGAGAAGAAAAGGGAGAGAGGGAGGGAGGGAAGACGAAAAGGAGGGAGAGAGGAAAAGAGAGGGAGGGAGGGAGGGAGAGAGGAAAAGAGAGAGAGGGAGAGAGAAGAAGGGAGGGAGGAAGGGAAAGAGGAAGAAAGGGAGAGAGAGAGGGAGGGAGGAAGAAAGGGAGGGAAGGATGGGGAGAGGAAGAGAGAGGGAGAGAGGGAGGGAGGAAGAGCGAGAGGGAGGGAGGAAGAGAGAGGGAAACAGAAACAGGGAGGGAGGGAAGGAGGAAGAGAGAAGTGGAGGGAGAGGGAGAAAGGGAAAAAGGGAGGAAGGGAGGGAGAGAGAGGGAGGAAGAGAGAGGGAGGAAAAGAGGGAGGGAGGGAAAGAAAAAGAGGAAGAGGGAGAGAGGAAAAGCGAGAGAGAGAGAGAAAGAGAAAAAGGGAAGGAAGAAGGGAAAGACAGACACTTACAGGAAGTGACCTCCTTCCTCCACCTAGGCCCCGCCTCCTAGTCTTCACCTCCTCCCAATAACACCATCCTATTATGAATCCATCAGGGATGAATCCATTGGTGAGGTGACAGGCCTTATGATCCAGCCACTTCCCCAAAGCCCATCATCCAGCAACCAAGCCCCACACCCAGGAATCCACTGGGGACATTTGAGATTCAAACCTTAACAGTGATGTTCATCTGTGTTTGCCACAAAACACATGGCATAGTCGAGTTATTCTCATGTGTAACTACTAATGACACAGATGACAAAAGCCAATGTTAACCAAGACAAAACAACCTGCTGACTCAACAACCACGTCAACCAGCTGCCACCTGCTTTGCTTCCTGAACCTGGAACATGCCAGGCAGAGGGTATCTGCATGTCTAGGCCCCTGTGAAAACACTGGCACTATCTCTGAGGAGTGTCCCCAGTAGACAGCAATCACATGTAGGTCACCACTCATTCATGTGTCCCACACACTGTCCTGTGCCTCTTCCTTTGCTGATTTCACTGGAGTCCATCATGGCTGTCAGTACAGAAGACCCTGGGACCTGTGGGTATGTGGATGGGCACCATCCAGTCACTGGGGTCCAGAGGGAACAAAACCAGAGGGAAGATGAATGTGTCTCTCTGTCCTCTTCTCCTGCCCGTGGACCTCAGAATTCAGGACTCCCCAGCTTTTGGACTATGGAGCTTCTACCATGGGCCCTGGGTTCTTTGACTTGCAGCCTTGGACTGAGTTAATTTACCTCCATGGCTATGACACTTCCAGACTTGGCTGAGCAACTGCACTGGCACTCCAGCTGCAGATGGCTGACTTGGGACTTCTCAGCCTCCATAATGGTGGTAAAATCTTCTGGTAAAATCTACAGGGCATTTGGAGAACAGTGACTAACACGCATAGTGAATTCACACTTGGCCATACACACGCACATGCCATGAATGGTCCAGCTGATAACAGAGATGACTAGTGTTGACAGTGAAGGGCAAATGGACAGGTGGCCTCTCAGCCTGTCCAGGCAGTGGCCAACACATCTGCCCAGATGGAGGGCCATCCACGTAAACCAGCCAGAAAGCCTCAGGTCCCTAGGAAGACCAAGACCCTGCAATGGAGCCTGCAGCTTCAATGCATATCTGGGGTGTCAAGACCAGTGGCTGTGACACCAGAGACCAATATACCACAAGCCTAGGAGGGCACAGGTACAGGACAGGTGGGCTGGGGTGCTCAGTCACACAATTTATCTTACCGTTATCTTTTCCTTGACTGTTATAGTAAGATGGGCTTTTAACTGTGTTCTGTTCTAGAAAAGAAAGAAAGACACTTTGGTCAGCACAGGGGAACATTTGGTATTACTTCCAACTCACTGTGCCTGGAGCAGCCATCGGCCCCTAACTCTTGGGTGAGATGGAGCTTGTGGAGGTCTGAAAGCCCCTTCAGGGGGACCTGTCTGTGGTGTTAGGATCCCATTCTCTACTGGAGGCTCGTGTGAAACCCAAACACCAGTTTCCCTAAGGATCAAAAAGAGCCATGCAGGGAGCCCTGTAGAAAATGCTGGGTGGAGACCAGACTGCCTGGGGGAATGCTGACCCCACAGCTTGCCAGCCATGTGACAGCAGCAAGTGACCACTCTCTAAATGTCCCACAGGGAAAAAAATCCTGCTCTGACACACCACCTTCCTCTGGATCTGGTCCCAGCATCGTTAGAAACCGTAAGAAATGGAAAAATGAACGTGTGTGTCATGCCACATTCTGAAGTCTGAGGAGACATGCCTTTACTTCCTGGGAGCAGAGGAAGTGACCCTGCCATGGGAAGGCAGCACAGGGCAGCGGATGGAGCCCAGAGAGCTGGGGCTCACGCGTGACTCCATCACGTGCCAGTAGTCAGACCTGGAGCAAGCCTCTCTTTGCCTCAGTTGTCTCTGTATAATGGGAGCCATACTCTACTCACAGGGCCACTGTGAGTAGGTGAGAGAGGGATGAGAGCACCTGGCACAAAGACAGCAATACTGTGCAGTGAGCATCACTGCCGTCAGTGGAGATGGGCAGCAGCAGGTGCAGAGCTAGTCTTACTAGTTAGTACCTGAGGCACTAGTAGTGGTGGTAACATGGGTTGAGTGACCAGAAGTATTTCATTTTTTTTCAGATTTTGGATATTTGCATATACATAATGAGCTATCTTGCAGACGGACCCAAATATAAATACCAGATTCATTTATGTTCCTTATCTACCTTGCGCACAGAGCATGAATGTAATTTTACACGACATTTTCAGTGCACCTGCATCTTGACGGGAACCTGTCATATGAGGTCACTTTCCCTTGATGGTGTCACACCGGTGATCACATCTCTCAGAGTCTGAAGCATTTAGAACTTTGGATGCTCAGCCTGTGGTGTCACTGTCTACAAAGTGACCTTAGGATATGGAGCTTGAAGCCCAGTGAGCTCAGTGCCCAGTGTAATCCTCATCTATGGTCCACCCATGGCAGAAAACGCCCAGCCCTGTCCACTCCTATGGTTAAGGCAGCACCACAGGAGGCCCTCCAGAAGTGCACCGTGCTTGGATCTGGAAACTGCTGTGTACACAACTTGAACGCACACATGCATACACACACAGAGCTATCAGATCAGTATGGGTTGATGGACCAAGATGAAGGCAGGTGAGAAGGGAGAAGCTGCGACGTCCATCTCAAGTTCTCTGCAGCTTATTATGTAAACCTATGCAGAGCAAGAAGCCCCAGAGCGTGGGTCTCTGCGTTTAGTCTCAGATGTTCAGCTCAGGGGCCTGAAACTCAAGGGGCACCGTAAACACACGAGAGCACAGGTGACACCAGAACAGAAAGTCCAAAGGGTGCTTCATGGTTGTCACTTCTTTAAAGACCCACATTTAAAAGTTTTTCTCTTTCTCTTCTGGAAATTGACTCCCAGTATTTGAATTTCCACAGAAGCCTCTGTTGGGTTGCCTACTGCCATTATGAACTTGGGGTGCTCCAGGGCCTCCCACGGTGTGCTCTGCTCTCTGCCCTTCAATCTGCGCTTCACTCTGTCCTCAAAACTGCCCAGACAGCCTGAACGCTTGGAAAGGGATGGAAACCACGGCCCATTTGCACACAGCCAGGCAGCCACGGACAGAACGCTCTCCTCTCATAGCTAAGAACTGAGGCTCGGAGAGGTTCGTTAGGAATGCCCAAAATTCATTAGCTCATTGATGTGTTCGTTCAAATTATTCAACAAGGAGTTACTGGGTACAGTTATGTGCTCTCTTGGGCACTGAGACGCAGCCATGAACAGGACAAATGGCATTCCTAGATTCATGAGGCTGACATTCAGGGGCAAGGGGACATGCCAGGTAGGGTTACTCAGGGGTAAAGTGACTATCAGAGACAGACAAGGGCAAGCAAAGCGCAGACAGGACCATGGCAGGGCGACCGCAAAGCCAGTCACCCTGAAAGTGTGAGGAAGCCACTCTGAGCGCCCCGCACCTCCCCTCGGTGCCCGCACCTGCACTGCCCCACTGGCCCTGCCTGGCCCATGGGATCCCTGAGGCCGCACTGCAGCACTAGCTAAGGACATGAAAGCTTCCAGTGCCAGTCTGTCCCGAGCCTGTGACTCTTGTCTTATCCTACGTTTTGATTGTAACTGACTTGGCTTCTTGCTGACCTCTGAAACCATGGATGGCATTTCTTCCACACCATTTTCTCCTTATTTCTTATCTTCATTTGTCCTCTGTTTTTGACTGTGTACCCAATTACTTCCCGAAGGGTCTTTTTGACAGTAACATCGTTTTCTTGCGTCTGGTTCTCCTCTCTTTGGTATCTTCCATTTTATCTAATTTTATCTGGGTTGTCTTGCTGCAGTAGAACCGGGCCCTGAGCCTTGGTGAATGAAGGGGCTCCTGGGAGGAGCCCCTGGCTTCGGGATGCAGTACCGATTCTGTCAGGTGACCTGAGGCGGTCACCGAACCTCTGGGCCATATTTTCCATGTCAGTAAAAAAGGGATTTTCCCCAGGGACTGAAGTCAGAATACAATGACAAAACAACCGACTCGGCCTTTCAAGGGGTCATTAAAATAAAATTTACCCACTCGGCCTTTAAAGGGGTCATTAAAGTAAAATGAGGTCATTACACCTGGAAGGGAGGGAGGGAGGGAGGGAAGAAGGAAGACAGGGAGGATCTTGTGCCCTTACTGTCAAGGTTCCTAACCCCCCTCCTGCTGCCATAACGGAGGAAATACCTGCGATGAGCTCTGGAAGCTCAGCTGGGCAGGAAGGCTCAGGCTCTCCCCAGTTCCAAGGGCTCCGGAGTCCAGCGAGGCGGTGTAGCTGACCCAGTAGGCGTCTCCCACTGCTCACAGAGAAACACAAGGCCTCAGTGGCTGTGGCTACGTCCCGCCCAGCCAAGCCCCAGATGCAAAATTGTGAGTCAAAATAAGCCTTTCTGCTTTATAAGCCTACGACCTCCAGTGCTTTGTTTCAGTAACAGAGAGCTGACTAACACCAGTGAACATCCTCAAACATGGTTGAACACACCTAAACATCTCATGAACATGCTTCTGAGGGATGCATGAAGATGTATCCCTCCTCTGTCCAGCACAACTCAGAACAAACTGCCCACCTTCCTAGGGGATGGGAGTTTTGGCTATCAGGGTGGTAGTCAGACTGGAGTTACTATACATCCTATCTCTGCCACCCTTTAAATCAGATCCGCGGTGAGACAATGAACACGCAAATGCGTTTAACAGGATGGATCCACAGCACGTTAACCTGCAGGTTCCTGTGATATTTTCATCACTTGCCATTCCCAATCTATGAACATAGTGCTGTTACCTTCCAGAAACTTCTTTCCAAAAGCCTGAAATCCATCGGGGGTCTTATTTCCAACGAACTCCTTGATGGTGAGGCCTGTGATGGCATCCAGCAGGAGCAGATCTGAGAGGTTGGCTGCGCCCGGCGTCTTGGTGTTGTTCACTAACAGCTGAACCTGCACTGTCTGCGGCTCACTCTGCCCAGCCACCTAGGATGGGAGGACAGGGACTGAGGCTGAGCCCTCCTGCACCTCCCATTTCCTAAAACAGATGATACACAGGCCTGACTTGCACACGCGGGGTCTCATGGAGGTTCTGAAAACTCATCAGCTCTGTCTGTGGTGGGGTGGACCCAAACGTGCCAAGCTGTTGCCTGGAGATAATTTCAAAGAAATTAAGATCCAGAAAGACAGTGAAACCATTCCTGCAGAGATTCTCAAAGAAAAATGTCCCCAGTGCAGAGCCACAGTCAGGCTGGGTTGCCAAGGAGAGCAATCAATGGCTCTTTCAGTTATTTAGAGATGCAGCTCCAGCCCCAGAGCCAAGGTCTCTGAAGACCATGTGGCCTCCAGGAACAGCCTGAGTGGCCATTAGGCTGGCTGTTCTTCCCCATCCGGGTTCTGCTCAGTCACATGAGGAATGAGGTGCTACGCCTGGATCTGGAAAGTTTCCCAAATGTCAACGTGTCAAAGGTGTGGTCTCTGGCCCATGGCACTGTTAGAAGGGAGTGTGACCTTAAAGAAGTGGGACCTACCCAGAGGTTTTAGGTTCCAAGGGAGGAGGCGGCATGCCCTCAAAGAACACTGTGGGAACACAGTCTCTTCTGCATCTTCCTTTAGCTTCACGGCCACCTTGAGGTGCACAGATTCTGCCATGTGCCTCTGCCGTGATGTACTGTGTCGCCACAGGCCCAAAGCAACAGGGGCAATTGAAACCTCCAAAACTGTGAGCCAAAATAAACCTCTTCTCCATATCCTCCTATTCCACTTCCCAAGTAACTGAGATTAAATGTGTGAATCACCACACATGGCTTATTTTCGATATAGAGTCTTGCTTAATTTTTCCCGGTTGGCCTTGATCCATTGGTTCTGCTGTATCTGCTCCTATGTAGCTGTGATTACAGCTGGGTGTGCCACCATACGCAACCCAAACTTTTTGCTTTATATGTTAATTATCTCAGGTAGTGTATAACAATAAGGAAAAGCTGACTGATACATGGCTGCCCTATGGAAGCTGTCCAGTGGCCCATGCAGCTGGCTCACCACCCTGGCTCAGTAACCTCGCCATGCTACCCTCTCTCTGGCCTTGTCTCAAGAGTACTGAACCTGAACCCCTTTCTCCCCATCTCTGCCGAAATAGATACAGGGGTTGGAGAAAAGAGAAGAAAGTTATATATGTTCTAAGAAGTGAAAAAAGTAAGCTTCTGAACTGTATGGATAATCTACCACCCATGTAAAAAGTTAGGTGCGAGTGTACACATGCATGCACACAGATACACATGTGTACATGCACACATTCCTAATTGCAGAAAACATCTGTAGAAAGATATGAGAAACCAGTAGCACTGGTGGCTTCCAGAAGCTGAACAAGGTAGCTGAGGGCCTGAGATAAAACGAGGGCATGCAGTGAAGGGTGAAATCAGCAGGCCTGACCTGTCTCTCCCTTGCACGTTCCAAACAGACAACTGGCCTTGACCTGCTCCTGGGATAACCTCGAAAGTTCTTAGAACATCCTGCCTGACAGCTGGGGCCTAGGACCACACTGTCAATGTGATCTCTGGAGCGGCAGGAGACTGAGTGACTGAGGTCAATCTTGCAGGAGCTCTAGGCCTTTGTGACCAAGTCCTAGGAAAACCCCTGGTGCTAGGGCTCAGGTGAGATTCCCTGCTTGGCAGGACGTGTGGTCACTATTCAGAATCGAGTACTGTCTGCAGAATTCCACTGGGCCAAGACACCTGGGAGCTCATGCCCAGCCTGGCTTCTGTCACATCCACCTCACTTCTTTACTGATTTCCATCTGTACCTTTTACTAAAATAAACCATAGCTGTGTGTGTGATGGCTTTTCTGAGTTCTGTGGAAGCACTGAAAGTATTCATAGTACGAAGAACACTAAGAAAATGTTAAACCTCCAAGTGACACATTGATGTTCATAATCTAAAGACAAACATAATGTAGTTTCTTCTCTATTCTAAGTGATCACTGTGAGTTTTTATTAATTATTTGTTGCCCAAAGAAGCCCCCGATCCTAGTGTGCCATCTAAATGGGCAGACCTCTCATTTTCACTTGTGGGTCCAGACACGAGCAGATAAGCCCATGACTTGCTAGTTCAGGAAAACGTGACTCTACTAACACGATCTGGGCAAAACTCAATGAATTTCTCTTTAAGTTTAAGGCACTTCTGGAAACTTACCAGTGCACATTTCTGGAAAATGACTCCATTCCCAGAATTCCCTTGAACGGCTCTTGAAATAGCTCCATACTACAACAAAACACAGACATCACCAGAAAGTGAGAAACACATCGTTTCGAATGCATGGTAAAAGTGAGATATGCTGAACTTTCTAGAGACGTTGGAGGGGTTACTTCTGCTAACCCCTGTTTTGATAATTCTGAAGATTTTTTTAAAGGGCATTCAAGGATTGGAAGTTCAAACCCTGAGGAAGGACGAATGAAGACGTGAGATTACACCAGAACCCATTCCCGGTCTGGGTCCTCGTGAAGGACACCTGTTGTCACAAGGGCTTAGCAAACCAGGGCAGACACTGCAGCAAGAGGAAAGTGGCCAGAGTGACTGGGAGAAAGTCACTTAATGGCTGCTAACACGTACCACGTGGCACAGCCTTGACTGGGCTGAGTTGGTACACTTGTCATACCATGGAGCATGTACGAAATACATGGCAGTGAGCTGGACCTGACACTGATGTGAAGAATTCACCCAGGTTTGGCCTCCACCAGCCTCACGACAGCTCCCATGGAGAGAAATCCAAGGAGACCAGGGCTCAGAACTGATGCAGCCTCCCCTGCCCTGGAAACCCGGGCTTCAGCTTCCCTCACAGGTGCAACTGCTGTCTGCTCACCTCCACCCCTGCCATTGCCCTTCACCCCCACCCCAGGGCCCTGGTTCCTTGGTACACATGGACTGGACTGGGCCCTGACCTCACTGATGGAGCTTTCCTTGGCTCTTCTCTCTGAAGTACTGTCTGCTGTGCCCACATGCATTCTAAGTCACAGAGTGTCTCTCAGCTCTTAGTGACATTATCTTTATAACAATGGCTGTCACCATTTCACACGCAGGAATTCCAGTTCTCCTTACAGATAAGAAAACTAAGGCTCAGAAAGGTTCCCCGAATCAGATAAGCTTGGACTCAGCCATGTATAACTCCAAATCTTGTGATCCATCCACAAGACATAGCCCCTCTCCACAGCATCCCTTTCATTGTGCAGAAAATGAATGAAGTCAAGACAAGAGATGCAACTTTCTGAGGAACATTACTGATAATGTTAGACCCAGGCCTCTGAACCTGGTCGGACTTTCTGCCCACCACATGGACCTACTTCTTCTCTGCCATGCCATGACCCTAAACCAGTCTGAACCAGAGCCCTCAGCAGGAACCTGGCTCTCTTCCTTCTGGTCCTCACACAGCCTCCTGCAGACAAGAATCAACACACACAGCTAGCAGAGAGAGTCAATGCAGAGGGCTCTGAATGAGGAGGGTGCTGTTGAGTGAGGTGACAAGGTACCTGCTACCTGACAACACTGGAAAGGATGAAGAACACCCCAGTGGGTTGAAGGGTGACCCCCTCAAAAGATATGTCCACACACTGAACCTGTGAATATGACCTTACTTGGAAAAAAAGTGAGACCACAAACATAAAGTACCCATACTACACAAGCAGCATCACTTGTTAGCAGCTGGGAGCAAGTGAGTCTAGGAGGAGACAAAGCCACATGTCAGCAATGGCCACCCAATGCTGGGATTCAAACCTTCCATTTGCTGAAGTTCCCGTGTCCCACAGCAGGTTTGTCAAAAGACAAACAGGCCAGCCCCCCACTGATGACACCATGTAGTGAGAGAAAGGCTCTTCTGAGGAACACAGTCAGCTAAAAAAGTAGTTTCTTCCAATTCTGAAACTTGTGTTAAAGTAACTTGTTACTTACCAGGTGGTGTGCTACCTGGGGAGACCCTCTCTCCAAGAAGCTCTTTGGTGGCAAGGATGGCATGAAAGCAAATAAGGAATGAGTCCACGGCCCAGGGGAGGCTGCAGAAGTCTGGGGCGGGGTGATGACCTGGATTTTCATGTTGGATTTCATCCCAAGTGGTGCTTCTCCTGCAAGATGGAAATGCACGCCCATCCCATACCACAGAAAGGCCATGAGACACCGGTTAAACACAGAGGTAATTCATGGAGTGCAAAAGGGCTGGGAAGCTGTGCTGAACAGTGGTTATGCTAATGAATGAGTGATGAATGTCAGAAAATGAGACATGCTCACAGAAGCTAGGGGCTTAGGGAGTGCCTCTGAGGCTGGTCTCCTCATCCGTGTGTGCGTAATGGTGTGCATGCCTGGGCCTCAGTCACCACCTAGAACCAGCAGACTAAGGATGCTCCTGGGTGATCCTTACACACAGGGTATCAGACAACCCTGAGTTCGAATCCTGGCTCTGCTGCTCATCAACTATTTGTCCGTGGGCAAGCCACCTGACCTCCAGTGGCTCAGTTACCTTAACTGCTGAGGTTTGGATATGGTTGATTCCCCAAAGGTCCATGTGTTGGTCCCCAATGTAACAGTATTAAAAAGTGGTGGGATCTTTAAGAGGTGGAGCCCAGAGGTAACTGGGTCGAGACTGCCCTGGGAAGGGATTAACACTGGTCTCCTGGGAGTGCGTCAGTCTCCAGGACAGCAGATTGGTAAAGAAGAACGAGCTGGCTCTTCCCTGGTCTCTTGCTTCTCTCGAACATGCCCCTGACAGGCAATGTCACCTCCGTGCTCTGAACCCTGAAAACCCTCATCAGAGGCTGAAACGGTAGGGACACCCCACCTTGGATCTTTAGCCTCCAAAACTGTGAGCTAAATAAACCTCTTTTCTTCATCAAGTACTCAGCTTTGGGTGTTTTGTTACAGCAATGTAAAATGTACTGAGACATTAACTCTTAGAGTAACGGACAGAGGAAGCCTTGCTTCGGTGGGTCCTCTGAGTACTTGACTCCTACAGTGCATGCTCCAATGGCTGGCACAGCCAACACCGGTGTGTGGCCAGACACAAATGCCTCTGAGTCCTCCAAAGCAAAGAGACTCCCTCAACAATCTGCTCTATGTCAGCATGTTCTGAAAATTCATTAAGTGTAAGCACAGAAATGTCACTTAGGTGACCTCTGACTGGGCACCAGAGACCTCCCGAGTGGGTACTGCTGCAATGCCAGTCAGCCGTGGTGCTCTGCACAGGTCAGTGAGTCCCCAGAGCCTCTGCTCCTATCTGTAGGGATGCAGTTAGGACAATGAGCAGCCAGGGCTTGCCTTGGAACCAATTAGTCACCACACTGTACACCAGATGCTTAAGCTTAGAAATCTGCGCTTATATACAGAGGAGACAGGGTCTTGCTGTGCCACGCAGGCTGGCCTCAAGCAACCCTCCTGCCTCAGCCTCCTGAGTAGCTGGGCCTGCAGGCCTGCTATGCAGAGCTCTGTGTTTTGAAAATAACCTACATCATGGAGCTGTACTTCGGTCAACATTTGCCTTCTATTCAAATAATGTAGTCGAACTGGAAATAACTTTACTTTCCAGCTTTTCTCACCCAGTATATTGATAACAAGGTCTTTTAAAGTGCTTTTTGAACCTTCTATAGAATTGCAAAATATATGTAGGAAAAAAACTGAAAAGAAAAAGGTGTGAAACTGGGTCTTAGATAACATTAGGAATTAGGGTTTTTTGTTGTTGTTTCTTGAATAGTGTCTGTGGTTGATTCCATTCACGAAGCTGAACTAAGTCTAAAAGGTCCCTCTCTGAGCAAAACTATGCACACGGAGAACTCAGGTGTTGGCACCTGACAGTCTTTGTCATGGACACACAGGTGCTTCCCAGCCTAGCTGCCAACTCGAGCTGGGAATGTTTGTTTGAGGACCTCCTATGTGTGCGAGTGACACTGGACACTCACCTCCACAGCCCAGCCCCTCGAGCTCAGGAACAAAAGACTGGCCCAGAAGATGCTGAACACAAAATTCTACAGCTTCTCCTGCATCATAAGGACTTCTGGCTTCTCTCCAGGCCCCATGAGCTCTTCCTGGTCTTGGGCCCTGGAGGGGAGCCCACCCCTACTCAATAGGAATACTGCTGTATGTAGAAAAGGGGGGCCCACTCGGAATGCGGTTCCAGCCCATTCAGGCCTCAAGATGCCACAAATAGGCACAGAAGCCAGAAATCTCTACCCCTAGTCTCAGGGACAGGTTCAGGGAAGGGAAGGGACCAACCACAGCCCCTTGGTCATCCTTGGAACTCATCCCAGGGCCTCTGGGAAAAGTCTCTTCTGTTCTATAAGAGCCAACTGGAAGGCCCAGCAAGCCCAGGACTGGGTCATATGGAAAGAGAGACCCCCAAAAGGACACTTCCTATCACAGCAGAGGCCCAGATGGAAAGACAAAGGAGGGTAGGACATCATGCCTGGGTCCTGCAGTGCCCTGGGCCCATGAGTTTTGGTTACAGGTCCATGCCCGCCTTTCTGCTTGTAGTCAGTGTTGGGGGAATTTTTGCCACCAGGTGTGATGGACTAACTAGTATCTCCCAAAGACACAGGTCGAATCCCAGGAGCCCGTGAAGGGGACCTCACAGAAACAGGCACTTTGCAGATGTGATAAACTAAGGGTCCTGAGATGGGAAGATAGCAGGTTACCCAGGTGGACTCTCAATGTCAGCTCCTAAGATGGGACAGACAGAAGGAAAGACAGGGGACTGACGCTGAAGGGAGAGGCCCCTCTGCTGGCCTCAAAGAGAGAGGGAGTGCCTCTTGCAGACAGGGACCTGTGTGAGTCTTCATAAGGCCTGATGAACTGGCCAGGAGGAACTGATGGGGCATCAGGAAGCCAGAGAGAAGTCCTTATGATGCAGGTGTCCTAATGATGGAAGGGACACAGGCACTGGACAAGCCAAGGAAGCACCTGCACTTTGCCCCGTGACTTTGCCCCAGTCTGAGCTGAGTGCGACTCCCGCTCAGACTGCAGGAAAACAAGTGTGGGTTTTTAAAGCCTTGGATTTTTGAGATTTGTTGCCACAGCCACAGGAAATGGGCAGCCCTGGCTAAGGGACACTGTGTTTCGAAGGACGCATTGTTGTTTCATCCACCAGACTCCAGGGAGGAATGCAGACAGGCCCAACGTCCCCTAAGTTCTGTCCTGTGCACTACGCTCAAGCCCGCAGTCCATGTTTTGTAAGGGGGGTGATGGTGCAGAGGACAAACAAATCTGGAGGGAGGTAGAGGTGGCAACTTTTAGGTTCTGGCTTTTTTATGGTCAAAATGATAGCGCAGGCAGTTAGGTAGACACAAGCAGGTACGAGGGAATGTCCCAGACTACAGATTCCTTTCTAAAACCCCAGAGGACCACACTCAGGACCAAGGAGTAAGATAATGGCCCTATTTCCTCCCTATGGAGCCCACTCCCCATATCAAAGTCCCCAATATGCCCTGAGGTCATAATGACTGCTATATGCTATGATCTAACCCAGAAGAGCAAAAATGGATTAAATGCACAGCCACCTCCTCTCACCTCGGCAACCACTGTGCAGTCAACAAACCATTTGGGGGGTGCCACAAGGGGGAGGGCCTGATTTCATGACATGCAGTAACCCCCACCCTGCTGTACAAAACCCCAAGCCCCAACTGCTTCCAGCAGTCAATCCTTACCCGAACTGTCCACCGCAACCCTTGAGGCATACCATTGCTTTGCTACTCTTTGGTACTTTCCTACCCTTCTGGGTTCTTTTGCCTCACCGGGGGTAGCATCCTAATCTTAGGTATTGTACCCAAGAACCGAGGAACGCCTGGATCACCCCAATGCAGGTAACAAAATGTGGTCCTGAAAAATGGACCAGGAGCAAAACTTACCAGCAGTCTTCAAGTGGGAGCTTTCCACATGGGGCCAAATCACACGGGACAGGTCCTACAAAGTTAAAAAGGCAGCAAGTTGTTACTGAAGGAACACACTACTGAGAACAGTCACTGCCATGGAGACGGACACCCCCAGTAGCTGTGGACCACCACGTTGAAAGCACCCCACCCAGGCACAACTGCACTGCCGGGAGGCGTCTTGGAGCAGCACAGTGGGGCTGGAATTTCACAGTGAGACAGACTAGGGTTGGAATCATAGCTTGGTTTTCATGAACCCTGGCACTCTGGACAAGCCCAAGTCTCCAATTCCCAAGACTCTGCAAGTTGTCAGAGTGGCAGATACAACACCAGATGGGGAGTCAGGAGAACTGGGTTCTGGCTCAAATCACTTACTCACCGTGTGTCCTTGGCCAAATCCCTCAGCCTCTCTGGTGGATGACCAGTCAAACTGTGCACAGTAAAACCCTTTCACGGCACTTTGTGAACTTCCAGGCCCTGGAAAGGCCAAGACCTCTCTATTGTCTAACTAATTATAACAACAGCTGAGCACTGGCAGCTCATGCCTGTAATCCTAGCTACTCAGGAGGCAGTGATCAGGAGGATCACGGTTTCAAAACCAACCTAGGCATATAGTTCCCAAGACCCTATCTTGAAAATACCCAATGCAAAAAAAAAAAAAAGACTGGTGGAGTGACTCAGGTGGTAGAGAGCCTGCCTAGCAAGTGTGAGACCCTGAGTTCAAACCGCAGTGTCACCAAAAAAAAATAAGTAAATAAATAACAACTAGCATGGATGACAACACTACTAATAACGACAGCACTACAAGTGGATGTCCCCATGTTCCCATAACCATCCAGCTAAGCCCTCTCCTCTCTTCACTGCTATCTCCCCAGACTCAGGTAAGCAGGTAACTCACCCCAGGCCCTACAGGTGATGAGAGCAGACTAGCTGTGTGCTCATGGAGCCTGGCTCTGGCCCTGCACTGTCCACTCTCACTGGCACCAGAAAGGGAAAGACGAGCTGAGAGGGACATCAGGCCTGCCTCAGAGTCCAGCTCCAATGGCCTCGTGTGGGCAGAGGTCTTAGTCCTTTTGCGCTGTTGTAACAGAACACCCGAGAGCAGGTAATTTATAAAGAAAGGAAATGGTACCAGGAGGAGATGCTGCTAAAACAAACACCTTTGGACCTGGGTAACGGGTAGAAGTTGGACTGTGAAGGGCTCAGAGGAAGGAGAGCTCTAGGGAAAGTGGGAATCTTCCTGGATCCCTGCTACCTGAATTCTGTGCACCCTCCTTGGCTGCCCAGCTGTGGTTCAAGCTTGCCCTGGTATGGCTTGTGACACTGCTCTAGAGGACGCAAGCAGTGGGCCTTGTGAGGTCCACGTGGCACTGACTCTGCAGCTACACGGAATACAGAGAACAGACACAGGGGTAGATACAGTGCAGAGTCCCCCCGCCACACAAAGGCCATGTCTGGTGCAGCTGTGAAGCTTGGGCTTCCCTGGGGGCCCAGAACAGCAAGGCCAGCCACCAATGTACAGTGCCAGCCTGGGAGAGCCATAGGCACTCACCCCAACCCGTAGGATCCTCTATGTGTGCATCCAGCAAATTTCTAGAGGTGTGATGTGAGCAGCCCTGTGCCTATGGCCTTGCCAGCTGACCTAAGGCTTCTCTTGGGCTGGTTCCACTCATTGCCTATGGCTTTCCGTGGCAGATGCTCCATGTTCCTGTCATCTCCAACATCCTGGGGTCTCTGCTGCAGCTGAGGCTTCACCCTCACAGCTTCCTGCATTGCCCTCTCAGGGGCTGTCTGTAGGGACTCTGACCTTGTCACAGATTATCTGGTCTCCCAGAAGTTCCTTTGAAATCTGGTGGACGCCTCCATGATCACACACCGCCTGCATTTTTTGCACACCTGCAAAGCCGGTAGCACGTTGACAACACCAAGATTAGATGCCAGCCCAAGCAGTAGCCAGGCCCACTTGGACCATGGGCACAGCAGCCTAAGACTGCCTGGGTGGCTGAGCATGGGAGAACACTTTCTTTTTGGGGAGGATGCCCTAGCGGTGCTGTCTTCTCAAGGGTATTCCTCTCAAATGCGTTTATAATTTTGCATCCTTGATCCTGTGATGAATGGGGTCTGGCCAAGTTCCTGAGATGTCCTCAAGTCATCTATCCTACTATCCTAGTGCAAAGTTTGGCTTTCTCTTTCGTGGCCCTAATCTCTTCAACAACCACACCCTCCTTGCCCACAACTTTCACCATGCTCCTTTTCTGGTCAAACATTTTTCAGATCTTTCTACTTTGCTTTTTTCTCCTGATTCGCCCTGTAAACCTGGCCAAAAGTAGCCAGCAATAACCAAGTCACAGTCAGAATGCACAGTCTGAAATTTCCTCTGCCAAGTTAATTGGTCATTACTTTTAAATTCAGCCTCACTCAAAGTCTCAGGACACTGACAAAATGTAGACAATCTTTTTTGTGTGGTACTGGGGTTTGAACTCAGGGCCTACACCTTGAGCTACTCCATCAGCCTTTTTTTGTAAAGGGTTTTTTTCAAGATAGGGTCTCAAGAACTATTTGTCTTAGGCTGGCTTCAAACCACGATTCTCATGAAATCTGCCTCCTGAGTAGCTAGGATTACAGGCCTGAGACACGGATGCCCAGTGACAATTTTTTTTTTGGTTAGAATGTAACAAGTATGGCCTCTAGAACAATTCCCAGTTGAGTCTTTGTTTCCATCTGAAACCTTAGCTGTCTGCATGCATGTAGGCCTTCTGGTCTTCTAAGCGCCCACCAGAATCACCCACTAAGCTCTGCTCACCACATTCTAGGGCTTCCCTAGCCTACATCTCCAAACTTTTCCAAATTCCTCCCACGAACCAGTTCCTAAGGCTTCTGAACCACATGGCCAGATCAGTCACAGCAACAATTCCAATTCTCAGGGAATTCTCTCTTTTAGGTATTTTTCTCATCACTATGACAAAACACCTGACAGATAACTCAATGGAAAGAATTATTTATTTATTTAGACTCATGGTTTCGGAAACTACAGGCCAGAGCCACTAGGTTTTGCAATTCTGGACCTGTGGTAGGCAGAACATCACAGTGATGGGAGTGTGTGAAGAAGGAGTTTGTTGTCCTCATGGCACACAGGAAGTGGGGAGTGAGACGGGGACCGGTACCAAGTCTAACCTTCAAAGGCATGCACCCAGTGACCTGTCTTGCATATTCACGTATATAGCATATTTTATGAAAAATAACTACATTTTCCAAAATAAAAATAAAGAGAAGAATGGAATTATTGTATACTTTCGCAAATGGTGCCTATGTCTGAGCTAATGGAAGAAGCTGAATTCTTAAATCTCCTTCTACATTCAGTCTTTCCCAATATTACACACTGTGTCACTTCTGAAAAGCCCATTGTGCCCTGAGAGAATGAGAGGAAGAGATAAAGTCTCAGTGTTACTCCAAAAACACCTCTGACTCCTTGGACCTGTGAAATGACTCAGTGATCCCACTAGTGGCAAGCTCAGTGCACAACCAATGCAGAAATGACAGAAGACACCCTGTCCCCAGGAGACCACAGTCCAGCAGAGATGGAAAAGCAGCCCAACGGTGAAAGATTCTAACACAGAGGGCTTGTGGGGTGGCTCAAGTGGTAGACAGCCTGCCTAGCAAGCATGAGGCCTTGAGTTCAAACCCCAGTACCTCCAAAAACAAACAAGCAAACAAAGATCCTACCACGGGGTGTCTGAGCATCAAGGGGCCAGAAATAGTGAACTATGCCAACCCCCCTCCCACCTGGGCCCCTCACTCACCAATGTCTATGCACCTGGGATGTTCCTCCCACCCTCTCCCCAGCTAAACCTAATCATCCTTCACGTCTCCACTGAATCACCTCTGTCTGCTCCAGACTGATTGTCCCTCCTCTTTAACCATTCTGCTGGCTCCTCACTGTGCAATGAGGAATTTATCTCTCCAGCCCCCTGTACACAGCTCTGAGCAAAGGTGGGTAAATACATACAATGGAGGGAGGCAGACATTGCTGAAGACTTCAGACAACCACAAGGGGAACATCTAACGGGTGCCTGCAGGGATCTTGCTCTAGAGACAGACTCTTTTCTGAACCTGAAGCCCTGGGGCCATGACTTGCTCCAAGTCCCTGGGGGCCTTGATTTTGTCTTCTGTAAAATGGGCCACACACTTCCCACCTCTCTGGCAGAAGAAGGGAGGACACTGGTGAAAGCATTCTAAAACCCAGCACATCAACAGAGTCTTGTGAGAACTGAGAAAATGTGTGATAGGGTACAGCACCCCCTTAACACACCTGAGCCTCTGCTGCAAATGTGGTGAGTGTCCTGGGGTCTGAAGGTGAGTGGCCAAGACAGGTGGGAGCCCAGGGGGAAAGCTGGAAGGACCCCTTGGCAGAGTCAACGGGCCAGATCACAGCCAGGACATTCATGGGGCTAGAAGCTGGCTCTGTGGCCAGGAGCCATGGAGGGAAGAGGGAGGAAGGAGGGTGAGAAGAAGAAGGGTCAGATCCCCCAGAGATCTGGGGGGGAATTGGAGGCAGAGAGCACACATTAAGGAGTGGTGGGAATCAGGGGGAAAGTCACAGAGGACCCTAGCTAGGCAAGTGGTGGGGTGGAATCCAGGGGCGGCCAGCAGTGGGGAGGAAATAAGGACTGACATGGGGGTTAATCAAGAGGAGGAGGAGGGAGGAGGGCTGATGACCAGGGTGTGTGACGGGGTGGTTGGAGGTGACAGCCAGAGCCCTGTGCCATTCCAGATCTGAGACTACAGAGCAGGGCCAGGGTGAAGGGAACAGTGGCTCAATTGGCTGGGACAGTAAAGTCAAGTAAAACTCCCTCCAATATACCCAGTTCTCCTCTCGGGAACACCCCCTCCCCCCAATTACCTGTGAGGGACAGATCACAAACATTAACTGTTAACTGAGCAGATGCACAGCGACCTCTGGGGGAGACGCCGCAATGGCTTGGTTGTGCAAAACAGAAAGGGAGGCACAAGAAGTGAAGTGAGTTGCCTGGGACACAGAGCTCCTAGGGTGCAGAGCAGGAATCGAACCCTGATCCACGGCCAAGCAGCAGCCCGCAGCCACCACCCCGCTGTGCCCGGCTCAGAGCGCCGGGGTTCACGCGGAATGCACCTGAGGGCCTCCGCCAGGCATCCGGTTCAGACCCTGCCCTCCCTTCCTGCTCCAGTGCCCCGCACCAAGGGCCCTCTCCACCGCCGGTGTAGACGGGTGGCGCCCGGGTGTAGGCCTGAGCCTGCGCGGGCCCTGCTTACCTGTGCGCTCCGCTCGGGCCCCGTCCCGCTATGTCTAGCAGGGGTCTCCAGGCCTGGTCCAGCTCCGGGGGCTGTAGGGAGTTCGGGGGGCTGGGGCGCGCCGATGGGGTGTCCGGGGCCTGCGGGGAGCCAGCCCCCGGCCCCCAGCGCCAGCGCCGCGGCCAGGACGCCCCCGGCCAGCACCCGCGGGACGCCTCCCCGGGCGCCCGAGGGGCCCATCGCCCGCTGGGGGCGGGGGACCCCAAATCCGCCGGCGCTGCGAGTCGCAGGAGCTTCCGGACCCCAGGCCCGCCCCGCCGCCCGCGGAGCATGCTCAGAGCGAGCAGCCGCGCAAAGTTTCCCTGCCACCCGCTCCCGCGACTGCCGCTTGGGCGGGACAGCGCCGGGATCGGCGGGACAGCGCCAGGATCCGCGGGGCAGCCTGCGGCCTTCCGCGCACGGCAGCAGCCAGATCACATCGGGTCGCTCTCCCGACCCCGAAGACTTCACTAGACCCTCGAGCTCAAGCCTCTCCTCCTGGAAATCTCAGATAGACCGGGCTGAATCCGGAATCGTAATTACCACCCCTCCGCAATACCCTCCCCATCACCACCACATCCCCCACACCACACCCCTCCCCACCACCACCACCACGCTGCTCCCCTATTAGAAAACTGAACTCAGAGGCAGGACAGGGTCGGGGCAGAGAAGCCAGGGTCACTCTTACTTCCTGTGGGGTTCTGTTCAACCCAGTCCCTGCCTTGGGAGGGACGGGCCTGTGGGGAAGGAGGTTCTCCGCTTCCTCTGGCTTCTCCATCACCTCTTGGACCTTGGTGACAGCTCAGTCCTGTTCACTGGCTCCTTTCCTGGCAGCCTTTCTGCTGGGCAGCCTGTGTGGGATGTCTGCAGATGGGGGCCAGGGAGCCTAGCACCAGGCAACCCCTCTTCCCCTCCACCCCCCACCACCCGCCAGTCCAAGGACCAGCTAGCTGTTCCTGACCTGATGTAGAGGAGGTACTGGGGTTTGAGGGTCTGAGAACTCATTAGCCAAGCTTTCCACTTGGCTCAAAGTCAGCTCAGCTACCTGTCTCTGTTCTTGTGGTCAGCGAGAGAAAAATTCAGATGAGTCGCAAAAATACAGTGCAAGTGATACTAAGTTTACTAGGAAAGGAATTTGGTATAACAGGATAAAAGTAGGGAGAAATGGGAGGGAAAGGAGACACATTTCCTGCTCCCAGTGGCAGTGGGTGATTTAAAGGATGATGTTACTATTCCAACAACTTTACAACAAGACAAAATGCTAAGAACATTACACATTTTAACGGCTATCCCTCGAACCCCTGCACTCAGGCGATGTCCTGCCTCAGCCTCCTGAGTGCATTGAGTATCTCGCACTACAGGAATGTGCCACTGCAACTGCCTTTTAAAAGTTAAATTCTGAGTATCCAAGGAAATCGGGCATAAGCATAAGGTTATTGTCCCTAAAGTGTTCCCTGGGGGCTTGGAGATGCTTCTGAGCAAAAGTCTAAGAAACTCTACATAGCAGATCTGTGTGTGCCTAAAGCCACACAGACACAGGTGATGTACACACTGCCATACTCCTTGCAAGACCGCATGGGTTTCTTCTCCTTTCTAGCTGTCAGTTTCTCCATCTACAAAAAGGGTGGACAATTTGGGTCATTGCTCCCATGTTGTCCATCTAGAGGGTAGATGAGAAGCAACCACAGACACTAGATGGACGGTCAGGTTAAAAGCACAGAGTAGCCTCTGTTGAAGCAGATACCATTGGTACCCCCTGCTCTCATGAGAGTAAGAACGTGTGTACACACATGTTCACTGCTGCACCCCCAGGACCCAGGACAGTGGGCAGCATCTGTCCAGTGTTTGCTTAAAGAAAGAACAAGACAATGACTCGTCTAATTGCCTCCTGCACAGCCTGGAGAGCTCAGTTGCCTGGGCCTCAGGGGTTCACGGCTAGCCTGGCCTTGAGCAGGTTCTCTGCAAAAGCCAAATGAATGGATGACCACGTGCTGTCTCGGTTTTAGCAGGGCCTGGGCATGACAGTCGCTCTGCACACTGTCTTAGGGAAAAGCACTGATCCTCCGCGGGGGAAAACAGAATTAAAACTTCAAGCAGACAAATTCAGAGGCACTGGCGGCCCTGTGGCCCAAGGAAGGCCAATGGGTCGGGTTAGCAGAAGGGCTGGATAGGGACTTGCTTTGGGTCTCTGGAAGATCGTGCGCTCGGACCACACAGGATCTTCCTCCTGAGGGAGGAACGGGAGGGGTAGTTTACTGCACCACCCCACCGTGGAGCCTGAGAAAGGAAATCAGCGCTCAACAAACTCAAAGGAGCGCCTTCCTTGGTGGCTCGGTTTTCTCCGGGAGCAGGAGGCGGGGTGTGAGCGCAACTCCCGGGAGGGGTCCTCTGGAGGCAGGCGTGCGCTCCCGGGCATGCTCAGTGCACGCAGAGCTGGGGGCGGGGGGGGGCTCCAAGTTTTGGGCTGACGGTCCAGGCTCCTCCCTCGGCTCGGGCGGAGCCGGGAAGCGGCGGTGGAGCGGGAAGACGACTCACTGCACTGACTGGAAAGTTGGCGATCGCGCTGTGTCCTAGGCCACTGGGGCTCTTCGACCTGGAGGGGACGGAGCGGCGGGTCCCCCGCCTGAGCGTCCCCGATGGCCCGCGGCGCGGCGGCCTGCGCGAGCGAGGCGCGGCTGATGCTGGGCAGGGACGCGTTGCGGCCGGCGCCCGCGCTGCTGGCCCCCGCCGTGCTGCTGGGCGCCGCGCTCGGCCTCGGCCTCGGCCTCTGGCTCGGCTGCCGCGCTGGCCGCCTGCGCCCCCGGCACCAGGTGCGTCCGCGAACGGGCCGCGGCGGGGCGGGCGGGGCTCTTGGGACGCGGTCCTCCTCTGTCCAGGGTCCGAGCTTAGGCTCTGCGGTTCCCTTGCGCGCACCCGCCCAGGCCTGGGTTCTCCAGGGAGGAGTAGCTAGCCAGCAGGGAGTTCAGAAGAGGCTACAGAATAACCTAAGAGCATTGGGCTGGGGTCCCGCTGACCTGTTTGCCGAATGTGGCCTTGGCCTCTAAGCCTCTGTGGCCTCAGTTTTTCTCATCTGTAGGAACACTGGGACCGGCTGCTGTCAGACGTGCCCAGCTCAGAGTGATGGGCAAAGGAGACTGGGATGCCCACTCTGGCTTCAGCGCTTCCTTCCCCACCCCGTGGATTGCATGGTCCCCTAGAGACCCAGCTGCCCTCCCTATTCCTACTGTAACAGGTTGCTAAGTAACTTCAGCCAGGAGCAGGGAGCTGGATGCCACATTGATGAGCAGGTGGGACCTGGCCCTTGGTAATGGAGAAATAATAACGCCAGCATTTACTGAGTGTTGACTATGCCAGGGACTGAGCTCAGCCCTCTGCCTTAATTTCCGAGTTTCTCAAACTGCTTTGAGTCAACTCTACTAGTGGTCCCATTTTGCAAATGTGGAAGCTGAGGCACAGAGAGGTTAAGTAGCCTGCAGAATAACAGGCATATGTCAATCCCCCAAACCACTGTGTTCCATGTGGACAAGGGCGAGGGGTGGCTAATGGACGCTTACATGACAGTTGTGCTAGTGACCCGGGATATTGATGTTGGTGACTGTCTTAGGTATTGCAGGCTTCAATCAGTAGTTGTAAGATAAATTACTATTTTGCATCTTTGCAACTTCGACCTGTTTGAGGGATAGTCAGGTGGAATCAGAGACAAGGTGACAAGATCTTGCCAAACCACCATGCCCCCATTCAGAACCCTTGAGAACAGGAGAAAGTCTGGTGTGGTCTACATGTCAGCCTAGGCTCTTCTGCCACGCAGGTGACTGGGCAGTGTCTTATTGCCAAAGGCTGAAAATGTAGTCCCAGGTGCTTGTAGGTAAGTTTGGGGTTTTCAGGTCCAGCTGGTGAGTAAGACAGATTGATGTGTTGGCTTCTGTGCAAAGAAGGAAAGGGAAGTGACAAGGGACAGCTGGCCCCTGCAGTGTTTACCAGCATTTGCTTCTTAAGCCTCACTCCTAACCCACGAAGTGGGGAACTGTCGTTTCTCACTTCACCATGGGACCATAGAGCCTCTGCAAGGGTGTTATTCATCTGGGATCATATGGTCAATTTCCAAGGTCACACTGGAGCTGGACTTGGACCCCTGAGTGTATGACACCAAAGCCAGAGCTTTAATCATCTACCCTCGGGTGAGGTGCTAGTTAGGATCCCCCTTGCTAGAGTCAGCCGAGGTTTGCTGGTTTAACCAAGCTGTCGGAACGGCCCAGCTGGCTAGTTGAGGGGGACGGTGGGATCAGGTGGTAGCCAGGGAGGGGCTCTGACAAGGGTAGGGCTGGCAGGATTTCTTAAGGTCTGATGTTATCTTTGTCTCCTTTCTAAGAGGACCCCTTTCCTCCTGTCTCCTCTCTCAGTCTCTGTTTCTAAGGTGCGCATCTGAGGATCTGAGGGTGCCTCTCCTGATTGGAAACCTCCAGGCACTCCTGGTGGCCTCCAGGAGACAGTGTCCACTTCCTAGCATGGTGCATCAGGTGGGTTTCTCTCCCCAGAGCACCCACCCTGGCAGGCAGGTGCAGGGTCACCCTCCCCATTCTGCTGTCAGTCACACAAGATGCCTTGAGATCCTCAGGTGTCTCTGAGATTCTGCACATCTCTGCGGGCAGGGACCTGTGCTGCCTCTGTCCTGCTCAGTCTCAGGACCCAGAGAGATCACCTGGGAGACCTTGCCACTGTGTTGCAGGAGTTTGCCAACTGAGATACAAGCCTTTGAGGCAAACAGCAGGAAGCAACGTTTTATTGTGCCAGCACAGACTCAGCGGACTCATGTCCAAAGGCTGAGCCCTGAGAACAAAGGGGTCTCCCTTTATTTGCCCTTGCAAGCAGGTTACAGAAGCAAAAAGCAAGGTCTAATCCATGTATGGTTATATTTAATTTGATTGGCTACTTTACCTTAGTGCTATGTGACTTTCCCCCACTCAGTGCTATGTGACCTTCCTCATGTTCAGATTTTTCAGGTTTTAGCTCTCTGCTCTGCCATCTCTACCTCCCTGCTACCTTCTCAGGACTCAGGTCTAGTCTGTTTTCCTCTGGTCCTCCTCCCTGCTACATTATTCCCCTCTTTGATGCTTGGACCCACCTAGGTCAAAGAGAATCATCTTAACTTAGGGGTTTGTATTTTTATAGTATCATTACATGTGTGGCCGTTTTCCTTTTTATAATGGCCCTTATAGTATTCTTGATAGACCGCAGCACCAGGGGAACCAGGCAGGCAGTATTAAGCATGTTCCCAGGACTAGACGTATTGCCCCTACCAGGGTTTTGAATCCACCTAAAGCAGAAAACCATCCTCCAAACAGGTCATTGGGATCCCATCCTCTCTAGGTCTGGACAGGGACATGGGCAGGCTTTCTCATTTTGTCTGTGATTTTTTTACAACCTCTTTATTTTTCTTTTACTCATTAATCTGCAAGCAGCAGTTGTTTAGGTTACATTTTTTTTTACAGACTTTTTCCTCAGAAGCAAGCAAATAGTCTAAATGTAAGCGGTTTTGATAGATGGCATTGCACATCTTAGTGCTTTGCTTTTTCAGCAAATTGAGAGCTCTTATAGTCTTAGTTATAATTTTAACAACAGCCTCCAGCCTGATGATGCAGTTGAGCATATATATAGGGGTGTGATACCCCCAGGACTGTCTTTTGCCCAGGTGGCAGGACCATAGTACTGGATGATTTACTCAGGAGGCCATTTGTCATCTTTTTCCCAAGCCCAATGGTTTACCATGTTGGTCCCCCCACAAACATAGCATGAAGTGACATTTAGTTTCTGGGCTATAGACTCAGCCAGCGAGAGGAACAAGTTTTTAGCTTTGGCAGAGTTGGAAAATTTACTCCTCATCTCCTTATAAAAGGAGTGAAAAACTTGGTATGAGGAACTCTCATGGGTAACGGTTACTAATTTGAAGTGTATCAGACTCTCAGTGTCAAGACTCTTTATCTATTTTTATACAAATTATTTGTCCCCATGTCCAGATGGCTTAAATACAGTGAAATTTACAGGGTTACAGGTGTCATGGGTGTAGGTAGGGACAGCTTTCCCCTTGTGAAGAAGGCTGCATATTTTGTCCTTTGTTAAACCAGATCAATAACCATAAATAGTAATTATGCATCCTGCCCAAAAGAGATAGAAGAGAGCAAATAAAAAACCTTTCACCATGAGACCAATCAGCGGGGCGGTTTCTGCCAAGCCTATGGCGAAGACTAGGGTGAGAACTACAGCGGCAGATACAGACAAGGGATGACAATGCATTACAGTGAGATAACTGGGGTGAAAAACAATCCATTTGTCCTGTTGGAGAGTTGACTCCTCAAGCTTCTTCAATGCTTAGACTAGTCAGGTTCCAGGCTGACTAGAACAGGGCTGTCATCCGTTGTTTTTGGTCCCCTGTTGTTTCCTGGGAAGCAGAGTTCTGCTGAGGGAAGGTGCTCAGGTTCAGAGGGTGATCCTGCATGGTGAAGCTGATCAGGGATGCACTCCCACTCGAGAGAAGCTGGCTTGACTTGGCTGTGGTGGATCCAAGGAGCAATCACCACTATTTTAACTGCAGTGGGAGTATTAGACAAGATAACAACAAAAGGGCCTCTCCAACGGGGTTTTAATGAGTGGACATTATATATATGTGTATATATATATATATATATATATATATATATATATATATATATATATTTAATCCAGACAATGTCTTTTTTTTTAACTGAGTAGAATCACCAAGGCAACAATATATTATCAGTATTATGTTCTAGAAAACACATTGTTTTAAAAGTTAAAAACACCATCTTTAAGTATCAAAGGACATGTTTAGAACCAGTAAAAATGGTTATTTTTTGTCTCTATTTAAGTAAAAGACCCTGTCTAAAAATATAAGTTTGTGTCTGGAAGGGCTTTAATGCCAGATAGCCACTCATGCATTAAGAACCATTTTCTCAATCCTGTCAGCCTTGGTTATTTTTGAGAGGTCTGGCACCAGTGACTCCATTTGAACTTTAATGGCATTCTCCCCTTGTCTCCAAACTGTCTCTGAGCAGTCTCTTCTGAAGATCTGTCTTCCATCCAAGTACTGACCAGGCCTGACCCTGCTTAGCTTCTGAGATCAGATGAGATTGGACATGATTATGGTGATATGGCCGTAGACTGAAGATCTTTCTTGATTGGTTGCTCTTTCCTGGATTTTGTTTGTTTGGTTGATTTTGGTCCCACATTGTGGGGGAAATAACAAACATATCAGGTGGGAGTAAGTGCCAACTAGACCCTTTTGGCCAAATTTAAGCAACAAAGAGGCTTAAAAGAGTGGCTCTTAGGCAGCAGGCTTCTAGACAAAGACAATACAAAATAAAATCTTAACAAAAGCAGGTGTCTGAAAAGTTAACCTGGTTAACACATTGGTTACTAGAGTCATTTTTTTATGAACTGATGCCCCAGAAAGATCAGAACTATAATGACAAAAACTTAAGAGTCATGGTTAAAATTCTGATGGACAATTTAGCATCTAACAGAACAGTTTATCAGTACCACTAACTTTTTGTTACCGTGTTTTTTATTTTTTAGAAGGCTTGATATACTTGAAAAACATAAATATATTTAATATATAGGAACCAGCAACAGCATCACAGTTCTATAGAGGTTATATATACATATTAGTTTAGCTGTTCTTGAAGTAAAACCTTAGAATTTTTTTCAGTTGTAGGGGGGAAGAACAGTTTTAGTAAACTCAAATAGCCCAGTCACAGACACATACCTATAGGGTACCAACTGCATTAGAATCACC